ATGAAATCTGTATGGGACATACCTGTTTCGATTGTTTTTCTGCTTGGAAATACTTTTCTTAATTTTATTATTTTTTTTTATGTGAATTAAGTGATTTTGTTTGTCCAGGATCCAAAAGAAATTGTTTGATGTTCATTGTTGGGTATGGACCTTATAAATAATGATTTATAAAATTCATTTCGTCGAACTCGGTCCATGAGCAGTCCGAGCCTAATTCAAGTTTCAAGAGAAATCCTACATAAATTTACTTCTTCAATCTAGTATAAAAAGGGGTCTCTCCACCTTCTATTATCCATCAATTCTTACTTTTTGGAGAGAGTACAAGGGATCTGAAAGACCAACGGTTTTCATGACTCTAATTCACTAAAAAAAGAAAAAAATTATGTTCGTACATTCCGCCGGAATTGTACAAAATTCGTTGAAAAAACGGCTAACAGAGTTTGTACTTATCACAAAACCCCCACCACAGAGCACTTATCACTCAGATCCCAACCTCAGAATATTTATCACTCCGACCTCGTTACTCAGTCAGACAATTCGTAATGCACAAGGATCGTCAGTCTGTAAGTTTTCGAGCTCAACATCTTTTTTTATTCAATATATACTTTTGTTATGCTGTTTGTAACTCGTTTCCAAGCGCATTATCGATAAACGAGAATTTTCGAGCCTTTTCCTGTTTAACAAATGTATTGTCGGACTCATATATCAACAGGGTCGCTAATTACATAAAAAAACTTACTTATTTTCTTCCATAAGGCTTTACTTCTACATAGTTTATCCTTTTTTTCAATTGATAAGGTATAACAAGTTGGAGCCTTGGAGGTATGCACAGATGTGGTTTTGATTCAACTAAATTAAGTTCTACTTTCGCTTTATATTAAGAAAATGTTTACCAATCAGAAGAAAAAATGAGAGGAAAGTTTGTTTTCTTTTTTTGGTCAAACAGGGGAAGTTTGTTTTTTAACTAGAAAATTAGAAGAAATGAAAGCCAAAAACAATAATCGAAACCCCAATTTGAAAATCTGTTTCACTTGGCTATATACAACAAATGTGTAGTCTAAGGGCTGACTCCAATTTCTTGTTGTGACTCTCACACGCACGATAAGTGACACCTATAGGCTTTTCCTTCTTCGTGATTCATCAATGCTAACGTAAGCCAGTTCGTCATCATATTTTATTTTATTTTATTTTATTCAGATAATAGTGAATTAAGTAGGAAGAAAAAAACAAAATAATAGTAATTGAGATGTTGTTATCAACTCTTCCACTAGCGAATTTCGACGAACGTCCAAAATATTTGTATTTGCTCTACCAAGTGGAAGTTTATATTTCGACTGCGCAGCCTCTCTTTTTTTTTCTTTTTCTTTAAAGAATTTATAATTATTTTTTTCCCACACATAAAAACAACAACTACATCATTAATGTAATAATAAAAAACGATGATCTACAAAAACTATATAGTTGGGTATTCCTTAGATTATCGTCAATTGGTTTTGTTATTTCTTCTACCACTATTGACTTACAAGATTCTCATAAAGAATCGCCGTTTGAGTTATCTTTGTTCCTAAATCCAGATGAAGAAAAAGAAAATTGGACCATGTGATATCTGCAATAGGTACAAAGATTAAAAAAAGAAAGAAAAATTAACAGTTTATGAAGTTACTAATATATGTAATGAAATCTACTTTTTGCTCACATTGGTAACTTTCTTTGCAAACGAGCTTAGTTCAACCGATCGTTTGTTACCAATCAAACGATCGTTTAAAACATGCGGTTGAAACAGACGTTTGAAAAACAAAACTGCAAACGGACGATTGATAAAAAGATCGTTTGTTATCTAATTATACTATTCAACCGCTACAATGTTACCAATCAAACTTATATATGAATTATTTTCTATAATCCAACCGTCTTCTCTAAACATTGTTTCTAGCCATTTTAACAACCGTTCAAAAACTTTCAACCGTTCGATTCAAACGGATCACCAATCGGACGTAAGTGAAAATGATTTTAAAGACATTTTTATCGATATTTTAATCATTTGAAGATTTAAAGGGGCCAACAACTAACAACTACAAAAATAAAGGATCGATAATGATCCCCCATGATACAACATTGACAATAAATATAAGCTTATCTGATTGCTTACACAAATATTAAAATATGCTACACTTGTTATCACTAGCTTAGTACTTTTTCATAAAATATTTCTTCACTATGATTCGGTTTATTGTCTATGAGTGGATATAACATAAAAAAGAACTTAAATCTTTCGACCCAAAAAAAAAAAACTTAAATCTTCTGTACATTAATTATCATTCGAATTACACTGAAACAAAAGATTGAAGAAACAGTTTTATCGGCGATGTTACTAATGCCAATGTTCGGGTTCTTAGGCCATCATTATCCATGATACAATGTGGATATTATTAAATTTAAAATTATTAAAAACACGTTCTCTCGACGATCCCAATATTTTTTTTACTAAAATCCGGAGTATATAAATATGTACAAAAATTACCAACATAATAATATCTCCAGAAACTAACCAAAAACTCTACAAAAATTTAAAATAATTTTAATCCGGTTTACAAAAAAGAAATCGAATCAAAGATCTTCCCGGAGAAACGAGTGACCAAGAAGCTGCGACGCAGTCCATCTCTGACTCGAATCTTTACGGAGACAACAATCAACAAAGCTCCTAAACTCCTCCGAACAACTCTCCGGCGCTTTGGGCGGTTCTCCGAAACAGACAGCGCACATTAGCGTCGCCCAATCAGGTCTCTGTCCCGGAGGAAGTAAAGGAAAATGACCAACGAGTAACTCGAGCATCATCAATCCAAAACTCCAAATATCTCCGGCGTAAACATCTTCGCTTCCTCCGGCAGCAACAACAGATTCCGAATCAAACCTCTCTGGGCTCATATAAGCACAAGTCCCAACATACGAATTACACGAATCCAACGATCTAACCAAAATCTTACTAACTCCGAAATCGGCGATTTTAACTTCGTTTCTCGAATTGAGAAGCAGATTCGCAGGTTTGATATCTCTATGAACGATTTTAAGAGCGTGCAAATAACTCAATCCTTTCAAGATCTGTTTAGCGAATCCGGCGAGTTTTCGCTCTGTTACGCCGCCGCGAATCGATTCTAGGGTTCCTCCGTCCATATACTCCATTAGAATCGATACTTCACCTACGACTGGTTTCTCGAAGATCCCGTTACATTTAACGACGTATGGAGAATCGGTGCGGCGGAGAATCTCCATCTCTCGCATCAATTGCCTTGTGAAAATCGGATCCATGTCTCCGTTTACGGTTTTTAAAGCGTAGATCTCCGATGTGTTCTTGTGACGGACTTTGTAAACGATACCGCCGTTTCCGCATCCGAGGACGTTGAGTTTCTCGAGATCACCGGCGGAGATTCCGTTACAGACGACGGATGAGGTAGCGACGGTTGTGGTGGTGAGGGATGAGGTGGCGGAGAAGCGGCGGTCTGAAATTGGAGGGAGAGGAAGACGGAGATTTAGTTGACGACGTTCACGAACTAAAGCCATGGAAGTGTAGAGAGAGAGTTAGAGAGAGATTGATTCTGATGATGGAAGAAGAAGAAATACAGAGAAGCTTCAGATTTTATATGAATTTGAAGTCTTTTTGAGTGTGAAGGAGACCACGAGGAAGGTGAAGAAGAAGACCTAATTATCCTTTTTGAATTTTTTGAATTTTTGATTTTAATTTCTTCTTATCTTGAAATGAGAATGTTTTGTCCAATATATATCGTTAAAAAGGCAACTTGTGTGAGTGTTTGATTACGCACGTGGTTAAATGCATCAGACTGTGTAATTTGTTCAAGTTATATATCATGGAAAATGACTAATCATATTTAGGTTGATAAGATTGATCATTTTAATGATTATTTAAGTACTACTATATGCTAAAAACGATTAAGGTATCTAAAAAGCAATAGGTTGATGATATGATGTATTTGGGCGGCCTTCGGATTAGAACTAGAGTTAACTACAGCAAATGAAGTTTATCTTCAATAATTGCAAAATTGTGTGGTAATTTTTTTGTAAAAATATCATAATCTTTTTACAAATATATCCTAACACACTATTTCGCATCCCATTTTAAAAATATTTGCGATTAAAAATCATCATCTATTTACAAAAATATTATCTTCTCGCTAAACAGTATAAATTAT